AGCCTCTGTATCTCCTCCTTCAGCACATCAACAGTGAGCACATCCATGGGGAGCGGAAGGAGTTCGTGTGCCATTGGGGGGGCTGCTCCAGGGAGCTGAGGCCCTTCAAAGCCCAGTACATGCTGGTGGTGCACATGCGCAGACACACGGGGGAGAAGCCACACAAGTGCACGGTGAGGCCCCACTTCCCAAGCTCAGGGTCCTTCCCTAAATTGGGGCTCCCCACCAAGAGCTCATATGACTTTCATGGAGCCTAGGCACTTTGCCGCCATAAACAAATACTTAAAACTGCATCTTAGGACTGGGTTAGTATAAAGATGAACACATTGATGTTGTGTATTAGAACACTTTCTTGGACCTAAAAGCTATTTTCCCCTAGCATTAAGAAATTAAGACATTTCTGTGGGCCCCAAAAAGTACCCTGGGCCCTAGGCACTGTGCCTGCTACTCTGCCTAATGGAGAAGCTCGGTGTCAAGGACATAAGACACTCCCAGAATGACCCCATCCTAAGCCAGTCTAAGATTCCCATGCAGGGAGATCTACTCTGGCTTGATGGGGAGATGCTCGCTGCCGCACCCCCTCCGGCTTCCAGTTTGCCGAGCTCTTGCCTGCCCTCATCCCTGAATTTTCGGAATTGCCTTCCCATCTTGAGTTATAGTCTCTGATGTATGTCCCCTTTGAGATTTACAGTTCTTCTAATCTCCATGTCCTTCTGTCTGAGAGCTATCTTTTGACCCCAACATCCCCTAGTTTGAGGGGTGCCGGAAGTCATACTCACGCCTCGAAAATCTGAAGACGCACCTGCGGTCACACACGGGTGAGAAGCCGTACATGTGTGAGCATGAGGGCTGCAGTAAAGCCTTCAGCAATGCCAGTGACCGAGCCAAGCACCAGAATCGGACCCACTCCAATGAGGTGAATGCCCCACCTAAGGGACCCTCCCCACTTGAGAAGCCAGCTACTGGGCAGATTCCCCCATAAGAAATCCCTTAGCCCAGCACCCATTCCACAGAGGTGAGTCCCCATCCCCCACCTCATTCACCTGGATAGTCTTTCTGAAACCAAGAACTTCCACATAACCACCCCATCGGCTACCTCTAACCAGCCAAAGGGCAACCTAAATAGACCCATTCGGGCTGGAGGGGACCCATGGTCCCTTCAACCCCTGGCTTTATGAAGCCTCACAGACCTGGGCTGTCAGTTTTCCTAATCTTTCCCTTGACCCTCTCATTTTTTGCTCCAAGGGCCCCCCTGTCTCCTTAATTCCCTGGGTGCTGTGCATTCCTCCCTGACCCTCTCGTCCCCAACTGATGCTACCTCTTCTTCCCAAGCCTCTGCACTCTCCCGCTTTGATTCCTTTGCCTGATGTCTTCACTGTCCACCCAACAGAAGCCGTATGTTTGTAAGCTCCCTGGCTGCACCAAACGCTACACAGATCCCAGCTCGCTCCGGAAACACGTCAAGACAGTGCATGGTCCCGATGCCCATGTGACCAAGCGGCACCGAGGAGACGGCCCCCTGCCCAGGGCACCGTCCCTGTCCACAGTGGAGCCCAAGAGGGAGCGGGATGGAGGCCCCATCAGGGAGGAGAGCAGACTGACCGTGCCGGAGGGGGCCATGGTGAGCTGGCCCAGGCGACTCCTGCCTCCATGCCCCGGCCTGCCCTACCCACATCCTTCCAGTCCCCTCCCAACTCTTCCGTGTCCTCCTCTGTAAATCACTCTTCTGTGGAAGTCCTCCAGTCTCTTACCCCGGTGGTGCTCCTTGGGTTACCCCAAATCAAGAGATTTTTGTATAATTAATTATTGAATTGGTTCAACAAACTCTTATATGGGGCTTAGCATATTATTCTAATTTATGTATAGTTTACATGTACAGTTCACATTAGTATGATTATAATTTCATGTACTCCTCACAACAGCTTCGTGGAAAAGGAACTTCCTCTCCACATTTTCAGATGACGAAACTCAGGCATATAGACAAATGGTCCAAGGTCACCGAACTAAGTGCAAATTTGAGCCCAGGCAGTCTGTGCTCCAACCTAGGCTCTTCTCATCAACATCTCTCCAGTTTGCCCCCTCCCCTCACCCGCTCAGCCCTCCCTACACCTGTAAGCTTCCCCTCGGTCCTTGCAGTCACTGAGACACAGGCTTGAGCCACTCACCAAGTTCAGGGAACTGGGGGGCGGGGAGGAGGGGCCGCCCTCAGCCCTCATGTTCCCCGCAGAAGCCACAGCCCAGCCCTGGGGCCCAGTCGTCCTGCAGCAGCGACCACTCCCCAGCAGGCAGTGCGGCCAATACAGATAGTGGTGTGGAAATGACTGGAAATGCAGGGGGCAGCACTGAGGACCTGTCCAGCTTGGATGAGGGGCCTTGCATTGCTGGCACTGGTCTGTCCACTCTTCGACGCCTTGAGAACCTCAGACTGGACCAGCTACATCAACTTCGGCCGATGGGGCCTCGGGGCCTCAAACTACCCAGCCTGACCCATACTGGTAAGACCTGGGTGTGGAGGTAGTCGCTGGGCTGAGATCTGGACCTTCTCTGAAGTTGGAAGGAGGACTTCCCTCCTCAGGGTTGCCCTATAGCACCTTTGTACAATTAGCAAAAGGTCCCCCTTCCTCAGACACTTTCCTTCCATCCATCAGGTAATTGTGATACACAAAGTATGACGTGAATGCTGCTCCCTAGGGCTGTGCAGTGTACAACCTATACAACTGTTCACAGTGGTTCTGAATCCCTGGTGACGCAGACGTAGAAAGGACATGGGTCGTCCTAGGGTCTGAGTTGTCAGAGTTAAGGAGCCTGTCCCTGGGATTCCAGGACAAGGCCGTCCCATGGGGGAGGCAGGGTGAGATTCAGAGGGCTCCCTGACCACCCTGCTTTTTCTCCTTATCCCTTGTAGGCACCGCTGTGTCCCGCCGCCTGGGCCCCCCAGTTTCTCTTGACCGCCGCAGCAGCAGCTCCAGCAGCGTCAGTTCAGCCTATACCGTCAGCCGCCGCTCCTCCCTGGCCTCCCCTTACCCCCCTGGCTCCCCGCCTGAGAACGGGGCATCCTCTCTGCCCGGCCTCACCCCTGCCCAGCACTACCTGCTCCGGGCAAGATATGCTTCAGCTAGGGCAGGTGGTACCCCACCCACGGCAGCACCCAGCCTGGATCGGATGGGGAGCCTTCCTGCACCTCCCTGGAGAAGCCGAGCTGAGTATCCAGGATACAACCCCAGCGTAGGGGTCACCCGGAGGGCCAGTGACCCGGCCCGGGCTGTTGACCGCCCTGCCCCAGCCAGAGTCCAGCGGTTCAAGAGCTTGGGCTGTGTCCACACGCCCCCCACCATGGCAGGGGGAGGACGGAACTTCGATCCCCAACTCCCAACTGCCGTCTACTCACCACAGCCCCCCAGCATCACTGAGAATGTCGCCTTGGATACCAGAGGGCTGCAGGAGGAGCCAGAAGGTGGGACCTCCATGATAGGCAGTGGCCTAAACCCCTATATGGACTTCCCATCCACTGATACTTTGGGATATGGGGGACCTGAGGGGGCAGCGGCTGAACCTTATGGAGCTAGGGGTCCAGGCTCCCTGCCCCTTGGGCCTGGTCCACCCACCAATTATGGGCCAAACCCCTGTCCCCAGCAGGTCTCCTATCCTGAACCCCCCCCAGAACCATGGGCTGAGTTCCCTTCCCACTCCGGGCTGTACCCAGGCCCCAAGGCTCCAGCTGGAGTCTACAGTCAGTGTCCTCGTCTTGAACATTACGGACAAGTGCAGGTCAAGCCAGAACAGGGGTGTCCAGTGGGTTCTGATTCCACAGGACTGGCGCCCTGCCTCAATGCTCAGCCCGGTGATGGGCCTCCTCGCCCACAGCCTCTGTTCTCCCACTACCCCCAGCCTCCGCCTCCCCAATATCCCCAGGCAGGTGCCTATACCCAGCCACCCCCTGATTATCTTCCTTCAGAGCCCAGGCCTGGCCTGGATTTTGATTCCCCCACTCACTCCACAGGGCAACTCAAGGCTCAGCTGGTGTGTAATTATGTTCAGTCTCAACAGGAACTGCTCTGGGAGGGTGGGGGCAGGGGAGATCCCCCAGCCCAGGAACCTCTCTACCAGAGTCCCAAGTTTCTAGGGGGTTCCCAGGTTAGCCCAAGCCCTGGCAAGGGTCCAATGGCCACATATGGACCTGGCTTTGCACCTAACTTGCCCAATCACAAGTCGGGCTCCTATCCCGCCCCTCCACCCTGCCATGAAAATTTTGCAGTGGGGGCAAACAAGGCCCCCCATAGGGCAACAGCACCACCCCGACTTCTGCCCCCACTGCCCACTTGCTATGGGACCCTCAAGGCAGGGAGCACCAACCCCAGTTGTGGTCATCCTGAAGTGGGCAGGCTGGGAGGGGGTCCTGCCTTGTACGCTCCTCCTGAAGGGCAGGTGTGCAACCCTCTGGACTCTCTTGACCTTGACAACACTCAGCTGGACTTTGTGGCTATTCTGGATGAGGCCCAGGGGCTGAGTCCTCCCCCTTCTCATGATCAGGGGGACAGCTCTGAACACACCCCACCTCCCTCTGGGCCCCCCAACATGGCTGTGGGCAACATGAGTATCTTACTGGGATCCCTGCCTGGGGAGACACAATTCCTCAACTCTAGCACCTGAAGAGTGAGGAATCCCAGGAATCCCAGATCCATTTCCTAAGGGGTTTCCATTCCCTCAGAGAAGTTGGGATGAGGAGCCATAGCCCCCTGGGATGCCCCCGGGATGGGAGGTATGGGTTGGGGCTGTATACCTTCTGTATATGTCTTGGGGAGGAATTTGATAATGACACTGTTTCTGGATAATAAAGGAACTGCATCAGAAAGCGCCCTGCTTTACACTTTACTATCTTGGGGGGGGGGGTGATGACAGGGAACAAGAAGAGAAGTAAAGGTTAATCCACCCACTTCCCTTTTTTGGGAGGCTCCCCCACCCCATCCCAACCCCTCAGGTCAGACTCACAAAGACAGTCATCTGGGAGACACAGGATTTAATGGGATGTCCTCAAAACAGAACATCCACTATCCCCACCACCACCAAAGGGTAGCTAACAGAGATCAGTAGAAACATGTTTTTGTCTTCTTCCTTGCCCCAGTCAGGGGAAAAGGCTGGTGAAGTCAGTGAGCATGAGTTGGACTAGCTGCCCAGGGTAGAGAGCATGGGCGGCTGGGTCAGATGTCTCCTGCTCTGGCCGAAATAGGGTTGGCCCAAACACAATTCCCAGGTTGTGTGGGGTCATGCGGTTCTTATCTGAGTGTGCTATCACCCTGTGGGCAAAGATCAAGAGAAGGGGCTATAATGCAGCAGCTTCCCCACTTCAAATAAATCTAACCCTTCAAAGGGATGAACAGCAAAGTGTTCACTTTGGGACCCCTCCATGTGGTTGGTGGCTGAAGGAAACCAAGCAGAGACCTGCAAGGGGCATGAAGATGGGACCAGTAGAGACACCTTCAGGATACAAGTTGGAAAATACAACCCAGGAGATGCCTGCCTCTTCCCAGCCCCTAGAGTCCTCTTTTTTCACAGATTAGGCGACTCTAATTCAAATGGCTATCCTCTCTCAGAAGCCACTGCCCAGGCCCAGCTCAGCCACGGAAGCCATGAGCACGGTCCCAACAGGAGACAAAGAGGCTGGGGGAAGGGAGCGGTGAGATGGCCCTCATTTCTCTCACAGCATCCCTGGGCATCTCTTGATCCCCATTTTCCCACTTGATGCCCTGCCTGGGGGTTGCCTGTTTCCTCCATCTGCCCACTAAACAGGTGAGAAACCTAGGTGTTCCCTACCTTCACTGCTTCTGAACACAGTCCCCGCTGCATGCCCCACTCCACCCTCCCTCCGCGTACACAGAGATGTTCAGTCATCCTGACCTGCATAAATGTTCCAGGAGGTACCGCAGAGTGTCACGGTTGGGCTTGGGCATCGAGCCTATTAATTCTCGTATCTGAGAGAGGCGCTGTTCTGATTCAGAGACTGCTAGAGAGAAAAAGTGAAGGGAAGGGCATGGCGGGTGAGGCTATGGAAGGTGCTAGGGAAAGGTGGGTAAACTTGCTACTCTTTCCCACGCCCACGGAAGACACCATTAATGTACCACAGCTTTCTTTTCCGCTGAGCCTAACTGCAGCTTTATTATTATTATTTTTTTAAGATTTTATTTTTAAAGGGTGCCTGGGTGGCTCAGTCGTTAAGCGTCTGCCTTCAGCTCAGGTCATGATCCCAGGGTCCTGGGATGGAGCCCCGAATCGGGCTCCCTGCTCAGTGGGAAGCCTGCTTCTCCCTCTCCCACTCCCCCTACTTGTGTTCCCTCTCTCACTGTCTCTCTCTCTGTCAAAACATAAATAAAATCTTTAATTGTCACAAACTTTAAAAAAAAAAAGATTTTATTTTTAAGTAATCTCTACACCCAACATGAGGCTCAAAGTCACAACCCTGAGATCAAGAGTCAAATGTTCTACCAACTGAGCCAGCCAGGAGCCCCCGCAACTGCAGCTTTAGAATTCTTTTTAAGTCAGCCCTCTAAACATTCACACACACACACAAATAATAACTGGAGTTGGCACAGGAGTTGAAAGTTGTTTTCCATCTCTGTGCTCAGTTTGGAATAGAAGGGTGTAAGGGAAACTCTATTCTTTACCCTTCACGCCCCACCCCCATACCAAGGGTAGTGCCCAAAGTTCTCATCCCTTACCAAGGGCAGCACGAAAATGGGGCAGCAGCAATGGGGGCACCAGAGGCTGGGGTAGCTCCCTGAGAAAAAGCTTCAGGGCTCCAGTGACCACGTGAATATCATCCCACTCAGCACTGTCCAAATCTAATCGGCCTTCTGGAAGGAGAAGGAGGTACAGAGGGGCTCAGGGCTCATGAAGGGCCAGAGAAATCCAGAGACTGAGAGGTCAGGAGTTTGGGAGAAGATCCAGTTAAGGCAGACCACAGAAATACCTAGGAGATCCACAGGGGGGCAAGGCAGCAGAGGTGGGGATGGGGACAACCCACCCAGGGGCAGGACACAGGGATCCAGAAGGAGTTGGGAGGATGTCAGATGTTTTAAGGGTCTGAGGGGCCTTCCACGTAAGTACCTTGTCCTGGCTGTTCTGGGAACACGTACCTCCCATCGGAGGTGACTGCCCGCTCTGCAACATGGATGAGAAGAGATCAAGAGCTAAGCCATGCAGTTCTAGCCAGACGTCCCCATTCTGCCAGCTCCCTGAGAAACTGCCTGTGGTTCCAAGGCATGAAATTCCTAGTACCACCACAAGCCCACAAGCCTTCTCACCTCTGTCCACCAGGAAGCGAAGTTTCTGGACCACCGCCAGGTTCCCGCTCACCCGGTAAATGCCATCCACATCTATACCTGGGAGATGAGGCAAAGAGCAAATAAGGATTCCTGCTCTAAGTTATTATTTTTTTAAAAGATTTTATTTATTCATTTGAGACACAGAGATACAGAGAGAGAGAGAGAAAGCATGAGCAGGGGAGAGAGGCAGAGGGAGAGGGAGAAGCAAGCTCCTCACTGAGCCAGGAGCCCGATGTGGGGCTCAATCCCAGGACCCTGGGATCATGACCTGAGCTGAAGGCAGGTGCTTAACCATCTGAGCCACCCAGGTGCCCCTCCTGCTCTAAATTAAATAAGGATTCCTGCTGTAACCTGTGTAAGGTGAGGACTGGTGAGAGATGCAAGGGTGGAGAGGAATAAGGCAGAAGGAAGACTAGGGTGGAGGAGGTGGGGAATTCTAGGCCTTGGCCCATTGGAAGGGGAGGTTGTGGGGTCTCTGGAAAAGTGACCTCTCTTATCCACAGCAGCAATGCAGAGCCGCACAAAGCTGGGCACGGTGTCCCCTTCTCTCTGGCACAGTGATTCCAACTGGCAGCCAAACACCTGGTCTGGAGAGGCACAGAGTGAGGTGGGAGGCCAGTGGGAGCCTCACCCATGGAAGCTCTTAGCACAGGTTTTCACCCCAAAGTTGGGCTGGCCCTCCTGGCTGCCTTTTCTAGCGCCCCTCCCCCCCACGCAAGGAGGTGCACCCTTCCTCCCCCAAAATTAAGCAGTAGAGGAGCAGAAGACCGCTGATCTAGTTCTGGGACGTTCTACTGTGAGTCTCACTGAAGTTTTCTCATCCACGAAGTGGGCTGATGCCCAGATGAGGAATATAAACGTGCTTGCAAAAATACTACAGGAGGTACGGAGAAAAGGGTGCCCCTGGCCCAGCCCACCTCACCTCGGAGCAGCCCACGCTCCTGCAGGCTTTGCAAGGGTGGTCTCTTTGCGATAAGCCGCTTTAGTTTGCTCCGGACGCGGTTCTGCTCCGTTCCTTCGGGACACCGACCTGTAGGAGCAGGTGGAATGAGGGCCCGAGACCGCCGCGGGGAAGGAGCCCACCGAGCCGGGACACGCGCCCCCGGCCCCGCCCACCCGAGACCGCCGCGGGGAAGGAGCCCACCGAGCCGGGACACGCGCCCCCGGCCCCGCCCACCCGAGACCGCCGCGGGGAAGGAGCCCACCGAGCCGGGACACGCGCCCCCGGCCCCGCCCACCCGAGACCGCCGCGGGGAAGGAGCCCACCGAGCCGGGACACGCGCCCCCGGCCCCGCCCACCCGAGACCGCCGCGGGGAAGGAGCCCACCGAGCCGGGACACGCGCCCCCGGCCCCGCCCACCCGAGGCCCGCCCCTCACTGGAGCTCCGGCGGCCGCTGAGCCGCAACAGTGGCTTGGACACCGGCTCCGACTCCTCTTCGTCGTCCTCCCCGCCGCTCAGCTCCTCCAGCTCTGCCGGCCCCGAACCTGACTGACGCAGTTCCAGGGGGTTCTCTCGATCCTAGACCCGGAAGGGCGAGGTGGGCCGAGTCGGAGATTGGAAGAGAGGAGAGAGAAATCTGCACCCGCCAGCTCGACGCAAGGAGGCCCTAGCCGGCTGCTGGGGTCCCACGTCCCAGCCCCACCCCAGGGCCCTACACTGAGACCACCCTGCCCCCTACCACCCCCGAATCCTACTGTTCCTTCCCCACTCCCTCTGTCCCACCCGGGCCGAGCCTCTCCCCAGACTCTGCCCCACCATCTCCCACCCATCTCACCAGGCGTTGGATGACCGCCCGCAGCGCGCGGTACCAGGCTCGCAACTCGGTCTCCTGGTCTGATTGCAGCAAGAACTCGTGGCCAGGGACCGTGCGGATCTGAGGGACCAGCGGAGAAAGGGCTTGCTTGAGTCAGCGGGGAGGAGCACAAAAAGCTGGGAGGCCGAGCGGAAGACCTGTGCGGGAAACCCGGAGAGCACCTTCGGGTCGGGTGGAGCTTTGGGTACGCGCAGGAGGCACTCACGTGCAGGACGTTGCGGCGGCTGGACAGGTGGCGGCCGTGGGCCAGGGCGGCTCCGCGCAGGTCCACGCTGCTTTCGGGTCGGCTACCCGCTGGTCCCTGGCAATGGGGAGAAACTGAGGCCCTGTTCCCCTCGTTGCCTCCCTCCCACCCGGGGGACTGGGAGGACACGGGAAGCTGTGCTTCTTCCTCTACTTCCCCCTCTCCCACCTCCGCCCCACAGCTGGCCTGAGGCTGCAGGAGTCGGGCCCGAACCCTTTCCCGCACGCCCCCTCCCCCCCCTCACACTCACCCAGATTGAGGAGGGCGCGGCGGGCGGTGGCTCCCGGTAGAACATCAAGCTGTTACCTGCTAATACCACCCAAGAGGGGCTCCAGTTTTTCCTGCGGGGGCGGAGGGGGCAGTGGCAGTAGGGCAGAGGTCAGTTAGAATCATGTGGGGAGGGAGCTCTTCCCGCACTCGGCTCCCGGGAATCCAGCCGCCCAAGCCCCTGCGGTATTCCCGGGTCCTGTCACCTGAGCTTCCGCCCCCCCAGGGCGATCTTGGTCACGTTGAGCAGGCCCGACTTTTCCACCTCCTGGGGAGTGGAGCGAGGGGTATTAGTAAGCCACCCAGCGCCCCCCACAGCCCCCACGGCTTTCCGAAGGGGGGGTCGTGTCCCAGGAGTGAGGTCTTTTACGGTTGGGCGGGTGGCGGAGGCTGCGTAAGAGAGGATACCCAGAGAACACTCAGAAAGAGGAAGACGTTTCCAAAGGAGCAGGAATTGGGGGGTGGGGCAGTGAGAATTTTTGCCTGCACAAGGAAGTGGGTGACTTACGTGGGGGTCATCCAGGACCTGCGGCAGAGGTCGAGAGGACTCCAAGGCTGAAGGCTGGTCTGAGGGGTGGAGCTGGGAGGGGCGCTGGCCGAGGTAGGGTGAACCCTGGGAGGGAGGGAATCGGAGAAACAGGTGGAGGAAACATCACCTTCGGAGTCCCGGCTATAGGGGGAAGAGGGGTGCGGATGTGGGTGAGAGGCAGGGGGTGTGATGGGTTACAAATGAATGTCTTGCATAAAAGAGTGTAGTAAAAAGATGGCTTTTCCGGGCGCCTGGGTGGCTCAGTTGGTTGAGCGACTGCCTTAGGCTCAGGTCATGATCCTGGAGTCCTTGGATCGAGTCCCGCATCGGGCTCCCTGCTCGGCGAGGAGCCTGCTTCTCCCTCTAACCCTCCCCCATCTCATGTACTCTCTCTCTCTCATTCTCGCTCTCTCAAATAAATAAATAAAATCTTTAAAAAAAAAAAAAAACTTAAAAAAAAAAAAGATGGCTTTTCCTGCATGTGATCAGGAGGGGGGGCTCTCACCTGGGGGCCCAGCAGTTCCAGGGTCGCCGTATCAGATTCTGAGCCCTTTGCCCGAGGTTGCAGGACACCACTGTCCCTATTCCGGGTCTGCGTCCCCTCCATGGAGCCAGGGTTCTGGGGGGTGGGGTGGGGTGAGGAGTAAAGCTACGGCCAGATGCCACCTCAACCCGCTCTCAACACCCTTCTCAACAATTTTCTGATGGCAGCCCCTGAGAGAAAACACGCCACTTTGGGGTTCAGTAGGGGAAAGGAGGAGGTGGAGGGGACACAGGAAGAGGCAGGAGGGAAAGTCTCACCATCTCCCGCACACGAGTGTGGCGCGGGGGCTTCCAGGACTTGCAGCCAGTCAGCGAATTTATGTAGAAGCAGCGTCCGGAGTTAGGGTCCAAGTGCTGCTCCCAGGAGTCCAGCCTCTGCAGTGGGGGGCACGCAGGGCTTGGGGGAGGAGACCGAGGACAGCGGCGAAGGTCCACTAGGTTGCAGTACACGGGGTGCTCTGACATGAGGGGCTGGGGTCTTGCCTGCCAGGAAAGGGGGAAGAAAAAGGTAGTTATCCTGCCTGTGTCCCTCCCCAATCTTCTCTCCACCTAACCACCTCCTCCTCTCTCCCCCACTGTTTTCTCACCCCCAGCTCCTGGCTGGGGTGACCCAGGTACTGGGGAAGAAACCCCAGTCCCCAGCTGGGTGTTTTTTTTTTTTTTTACTCCCTCCCTCAGTCTTCTTTGCTTTTCTCCTCCTCACTTCCTGTTGCCAACTTCCCTCCTCCCCCACCCCGCCCCTACCCCCAGGGCCTCAGAAAGGGGAACTGGCTTTTTGTGTGTGTGGGGGGGGGGGGGGTTGAGGGGAGCGTCCCACCCTCACATTCTCCAGAGTGAAAGGGAAGAGAGGGAGAGGGGTCAGGGAACCCTACAAGGGGAGTCTGAAAGAGGAGGGGCCATTTTAATCCACCAGCAAGTAAGAGAGAGGGGAGGAGCTGAGTCTTCAAGAAGAGCAAGGGAGTTACATCTCTAAGTGGGACTTGTTGGTGACCTGAGCTGGTAAGATAGGACACAGGAAAAAACCCTGCCCTGGGCCAGGAGTCAGGAGGAAGAAAGAAAAACATAGCTCCTTGGCTTTTTCTCAGTCCCTCTGTCATCTGCCAGGTTCCATGTATCCTCAGGATCTTTGCTACTTGCCATCCCTCAGCTAGAATTCCTTCTCATTTCCTAGTTTGGTTCCCGGCTATTTCTTCCTCCTCCTCATTCGGATCAACTACATGTCATTTCCTGGGAGATGTCTTCCCAGATTATCTCCATCACTCTCTACATTTATGCTTCTTGGTAGCACTTACCAGTACCAACAGTTACTTGTTTGTGTGTTTGTCACCCCCATGGGAATCCCTTGAGGGCAGAGATTCTATCCTCCTGGTCTGCCATTGTGCCTAGAACAGGGCCCAGCAGTAAATAGCCCGTTTACTCTTTACTCCGCTTAGAAGGGCTGTGACTCACCGTATTGGCCCTGGCCTCTGGCAGTAAGTCTTCCTGAGAGAAGGATCTGCCACTTGTTCCTTCCTGGAAGGGTTTCAGGACGGTAGGCCTCAGATTGGTAACACTGACGCTTCTACACATTTTGGGGGGAAGAGGAGGAGGCTGCTTAGAGGTGGTCTGGGTCCTGCCTGGGGGTTCCTGGGACAGGTGCAACTCCTCCATGGAGCCATGAAACAACTTTGGCCCTGGAAACAGAGAAACGGGAAGAGTGGGGGCAGGTCCTCAGAGGGGTGATCTTGGCTGGATCCCTCATCCTGGGGACTCACAAGGAAGACAAGAGCAGGGGAGGTTGTGGAAAAGTACATGAGACCTAGAAAGCGTAAGAGTAGGAGGAGAGGCAATGGGGACACTGTGATGGGGATGACGAGTAGGCTGATCAGAGGGAAATAAGAGAAGGGGGTCAGCAGACGCTTTGAGGGAGAAAGATCCTTCCAATAATTCCTAGAAGCCAGGGAGGGGAGGTAGGAAGGTGAAGGGAGTACTCACCAGGTGTCCGGAAGGATTGGCTGGGGGTGATGGTGGTTGGGCTCTGGGAAGGGATAGATTCCTCTGTCACGTAGGCAGCTGGGACAAAGATGGGTCGAGAAGTGGGGGGTGCTCCCAGGCGCCTTGCCAGCCACCAGTCTGAGTTGGTCTTTCGAAGCAGTAGAAACCTGTCCCCTTCAGCCAGGGACACTTGCCGGCCATCTGTCCCAGTGTAAGTGAAGGCATAGAGGGCACAGAGCTGGGATCCCCGAGAAGGGTTTTGGGGCCCCAGCCCAAGGCTCCCCCGGGTACTTGACCACCACCGGCCTGACAGCATTGTAGTCAGTACCGTCACCTGTGGGAAAAAGGGGTGTTGGAGATCCAGCAAAGGACGTGACTGGCTGCTTCCAAGCAGAGAGACATGGTTTTAAGAATAGCGTAGGGAGATAGGGAGAAACGTAAGGACAGGAACCTCAGAATGAGAGCAGAGGGTAAAGCAGAGAGCCGGGGTAGGGGGTCATCTACAGGTTTAGGGGACTGAGAACTCCTGGGTGACGTGACTGGTAAGGAAGTATATAAGTAAGGTGAGAGAGGATGTGGTCAGCAGAGCTACGAGGCCAACAGGGCAGGAAATCAGGGGAGAGAGGCTAGCCCGGTGATTTTCCTCCAAGTACCTTCTGGGGCCCATCAGAAAATCCACGGGCAGGAGGAGCGGGTCCTGGGTGGTGGTAGGACTTTTGAGCTGGACACAGGGGGATGAAGAGAGAGAATCAGGTCAGAGACAGAACACAGGCAAAGAGACAGGAATTAATGACAAAGATAAAAAAAAGTTTGTGACCTTTATTAAATATACACAGGCACCAATGTTTCCGTTACCAATAGCCTCAGACCTAGAGCTGCGTGCTTCCTGTGCAGACTCTGAGAGACACAGAGACAGAGAAACCAAAGTAGAGAGAAAGAGAAAGTGGCTGGGAGAAACACAAAGGGGTTCCAAGTTAGAAGAAGAGGTGAAAATACCACCATCCTCTCAATCCAGGATGTGTTTGGGGAGCTGAGAGGCCTTGAAACAATACTCTGTACATAGTCTGTGGGGCGGAGTCCTACATCAGTGTGCGGGTTCCTTCATTCATGCTCTTAACAGGGATTGGCTGAGCACCTCCTGTTTGAAAGGAACAGTGTTAGGCCCTGGGGATAAGAGAGGGGAAGGAGATAGACACAGCCCTCGTGGAGCTTAAGGACAGATCTTAACTAATGACACAATATATTTATTAATTACAATCGAATCAAGGACTCTGGACAAGTATTACAGGGTGCTATGACAGCATATGGGGGTGGATGGGGGACTGACATTGGCTTTTCCTTGGTGGAAGATGGGAACTGAATTCCCCTGTCAATTTCCAGGGCTTTAAAACACCCACTGACTGATGCTTCCTCCTTACCTAATCACTCTTGTTTTGCCCTTCTCTGTTTCCCCACTGCACAACGTGAGGCTCTGGGTCTGGCTTTGGAGAGGTAGGATAGGGACTGCCCCTCCCCCTTGGTGACACCCGAGAGCCAGCACTCCTGCCCTGACACATGATCTGAGGGCGGATTCCCAGTCCTGGGATTTGGCCTCAGTGATCTTCCTCCTCAGTGGGCTCCACTTTCATTCAACATGTGGAGGACCCTACCCCTCAACTATTCCCTCCCACCTCCACAGTAGTCCCCAACTTCATCCCATTCGTTCATCATTCATTCATTCATTCATCTGGTGTTTGCTAAGTGCTCACATCTCCTCTTCTGCCTTCTCTGCCAACTCTCCTGCACTTTATCCTCTCCCTCTTTATAGCCTCCTTCCCTTTAGCTTTTAAACATATTCAAGTCTCAGTCATCTTTAGCCAAACCTCCCTTTACTATACTCCTCGGTTACCACCCTATCCCCCTCTTTTCCTCTTTACAGTCAAACTTATTGAAAGAGTTGCCTACATATGGGGGTCTCCATTTCCTCTCCCCTCACTCCCTCACCTCTGCAAGGTCCCTCCTCCCTAGGGTCACCCCTGACTTTACAGGGGTACTTTGCAGGCCTTATGTTGCTTGGCATCTCAGCAGCAGCCAACACAATTGACTATTCTCTCCTTCTACAAACACTGCTGGTGTTCTTACCTTCTTAGCAGTCCCTTCTCTGTTGCATAAGGACTTTGCTTGTTCCTTAAACCACAGAGGTCTGTCAGAGATCTTGTGCCCTTTGAACTCTATACACCCTATGTAGTCTTATTTTCTCCCCAGCTTAAATGGCCTCCATATGCTGTTGAGTACCCTAGCTCCAGTCCAGATCTTTCTCTGGAGCTCCAGTTTAATCCACTGTCCACTGAAAAGCACTTGGATATTTCACAATGCCCAAAGTAGCACAAACATAGTATGTTCTAAACTGAACTTTTCAGCTTCCCCTGCAAACCTGTTTTTCCTCCAGTACCACTATTCGGTTAAATTTAAGTTCAATAAATATTTATTGAATGCTTGCTACCATACGTGCCAGGCAGGAACCGTGCGCTAGGCCTTGTTGATTAAGAGGACAAATATGGCCCCTGCCCTCTCATAACAAAATACAGTGTGATAATCACTATGACGGGAAAATACTATCATCTGTTGGAACACATACAGGGTATACCCAATTGTGCATGCCAGAAACCTGGCAGCCAGGGGCGCCTGGGTGGCTCAGTCGTTAGGCGTCTGCCTTCGTCTGGGGTCATGGTCCCAGGGTCCTGGGATCGAGCCCCGCGTCGGGCTCCCTGCTCCGCAGGAAGCCTGCTTCTCCCTCTCCCACTCCCCTTGCTTGTATTCCCTTCCTTGCTATCCCTCTCAGTCAAAATAAATAAATAAAATCTTAAAAAAAAAAAAAACAACAACTGGCAGCCAACCTTAATTTCTGCTGTTTTCTTACCACTCCTATTTAGCTGATTACTAAATCTTTTCAATCTACCTACTTCCTTTAGTTCCTCTGCAACTATCATCTTCCTTAGTCTGAATGATATAGTTTCCTAACTAGTCTCCTTGCCTATGGTTCTCCTCACCTCTAGTCCATTCCTGGCACTGCAGCCAGAGTGACCTTCCTAAAGCACAAAAATGCCTTGCCATGTCCCTGACTTAACATTTCAAAGGCTTCTCATTGTCCTCAGAGTCAAGTCCAAAATTTACAGTATGGTTTACAGAGACTTTCTCCCTTGAGCCTAGCCTTTTCATGCTCCCTACCACAAACTCCATATTCTCACCACACACGAATTCCTCAGATTCTTAAAATGCACTGAGGTCTCTGGTCCTTTGCATATATATTTTTTTCCCTCTGCCTGAGACCCTTCCTCACCAATCTTCACTGGCTAACTCTTACTTATCATTCTGATCTCAGCTGAAAGGTCATTAGCACAAGAAGACCTCTCTTAACCACTTAGAATTGGGTCAGGGCCCTACTAGGAGCTCCCACAGCAAGTTTTACATTGCCCATTACGACTTCCATGAAACTTTAAAGATTATTTTATTTTCTGACTTCCGAGGAAGTCTGTGAGCTCTGCCAAAGCAGAAGCCTATATCTGTTTTGTTGGTAATTGTATCTTCAATGCCTCGTATAGTGTGTGGCACAAAGTAACCTCTCCGTGCGTCAGTTTCCTCATCTATAAAACAAGAATGAGAGAACCAAGCTCGTTGTTTGTTTGCATTTTGTTAAATAACCATTTTCTTGGGCGCCTGGGTGGCTCAGTTGGTTAAGCGACTGCCTTCGGCTCAGGTCATGATCCTGGAGTCCCGGGATCGAGTCCCGCATCGGGCTCCCTGCTCGGCAGTGAGCCTGCTTCTCCCTCTGGCCCTCCCCCCTCTCCTGTGCTCTCTCTCATTCTCTCAAATAAATAAATAAAATCTTTAAAAAAAAAAAATAACCATTTTCTTTTCTTTTTTTTTAAATAACCATTTTCTTATAGCTCACAATTTTATGCGACAGAAATTCGGATAGGGCTCAGCTGGGTGATTCTTCTATCCCAGTGGCATTGGCTATTCACTTAGTGATATTCAGCAGGCAGATGGGTTGGTCTGGAGAGCTTCATTCACATACCTGACACCTTGATGGGAATGACCGGAATGCTGGGATCAGCTGGAGCTGTCAGCCAGAGTGTCAACATGGGACCTCTCCAGCATGGCAGTCTCAAGGTAGTGAGACTTCTTACATGGCTGCTCAGAGCTACCCGTGTTCCAAGAAGCCTGGGCAGAAGCTGCAAGGCCTCACTTCAAAAGGTCCAGATCCCCCAGAGGGTTTTTTTGAGAGTTAATTAATATATATGTTAAAGTACTTAGAACAGTGCTTAACTCATAAGTACTATTAGTTATTATTCTTTTTAAGTTTACTTATTTTAAGTTTATTTATTTAAGTAATCTCTACACCCATCATAGGGCTGGAACTCATGACCCCAAGATCAACAGTCCTGTGCTCTTCTGACTGAGCCAGCCAGGCGCCCCACGTATTAATTATTCTTAAAGGGATGCAAAAATGAGTAAGAAGCCTTCCTTTCTCAATTACTGATATGTACCTCCTCGTAAATAAACACTTACTGCCAAACTCTCAGCCTTCTTACTTCCCTTCAATCTGACTTTGTCGCTACACATGCTCCCTCACCTTCAGTGACACTGTCTAGCAGCAAGACTAGTATTAAATCAATATTTAATAGTCACATGCTTTTTTTATTAATAGGATATCTACATTAATTTCCATTGTGTCACTAAAGTAAGTTCATCGTAACTCTCAGCTGTATAATTCCTATTCTTGTGAACCCGAATCGAGAGTCGGCCTTTGGTGGTAGTCCCTGTCATGACAGTGCCACCTCAGCAAGACTAGAGAAGGCCTTGGTTTCCGTCACCGCCGCCCGGCTGTGGCAGAGGAGTCAAGTGCAGTGCGCCGGACTCTACACGGAATCGCTTCCTCCAGCTCCGCCACCAAAAAAGTGCCACTCTAGCACAGCCTCTGCGGCCTCTCCATCTCGATGATATCCTTTTCCTGTTTCCTGATGTTGCATGATGGGAGAAATAGTCTACTTTCCGCGAGCGGTGCCCAGGGAATGATCTAGTTCAGAACTCCATTTCCCGGCATGCATCGCGGCGGACGCTCAGCCCACAGGCAGGAGGCCGGTTCCGGTTGCATCAGCGTGGGATCCACGGCGAAATGAAACTGTTCGTGAGCGAGGGCGCCCCGGGGAGCCTGCCCGTGCTGGCCGCGGCGGGCAGGGCCCAGGGCAGAGCGGAGCTGCTTATCAGCACCGTAGGCCCCGAAGGTAGTCGGGCTGGCGCTGGTGGGCGGTGGATGAGGGGGCCGGGGCGGAAAAACACGCCCGACATCCATCCCGCAGTTGTCTTCCCCAAACCCCCGCCGTCCATCACGCAGTCCCGTCCACCTCCTCCCGCATTATTCTTGGTCAGCCCATCCCTTTTCTCCCCGTCACATCTTTCATTAATTGCTTCCCTTAATTACCCTCGGTATACCCCTTCCCTCATCTCTAACCCCCCCCCCATCTTCCCGTATCCCGCCTCACTCCAGTGAACCTCTAGCTCCTTTCCGACTTTCTCCCACACCCTTCAGGCTCCTCCCACCCCCATACTATCTCTAGTTATTCATCACCACCTCCAGGCACCCCGTTGTTGTTTTTAGGAAACCCTACTCTCCTCTCCTAAAACAGACGCACATTCACTCCTTTCGGTTTACCTCTTCTTCCCAGCCATCTGTTTGGGTGCCTCTTAAAAGTAGTTCTGTCAGTTCTCCCAGTTCCTTAGATTACCCTGTTACTCTCGGTTGTTTCAGTATTTGGCTGTTGCACTGTCCCAATACCACCACCACCACCCCTCTGCAATGCCCATCTGTTGCTTCCAGCTGGTGGTCTCAGCTGAACACCTGCTAGTCTGTCCAGCGCATTCTGGACCCACCCCCTTGCATCGGTCCTACCCAGAAATCTTTCCAGTGTCTTCTCTTTTTCCCTGAACAATGTGAAGTTGTCCTTCTAAGTTAACAAAGTTTTTTTTCTTTTCCTTGTCTTTTCACTCCTTTTCCTCTTCCGCATCAGAGTGTGTGGTCCCGTTCCTGACCCGGCCTAAGGTCCCTGTCTTGCAACTGGATAGTGGCAACTACCTCTTCTCCACTAGTGCAATCTGCCGGTCAGTATTGGTCCTGAAGGCAGGGAGGTGGCTGAATAAAATCAGGGTTTACTGCCCGCGGTGTGGTTTACTTTGCAACCACTACTTCACTGTGGGGTAAGAAATAGGCTAGACAGATGGGCCCTCTAGTTCAACCTTCTGTTGCTCTCTCCTTGGGCAGATACTTCTTTCTGTTATCTGGCTGGGAGCAAGATGACCTCAGCAACCAGTGGCTGGAATGGGAAGCTACAGAGCTGCAGGTAGGCCTGAGACATGGGGGATGGCAGGCAGGCCCTTGCTCTGTATGGCCATCCTGACCTGTGTCCCCCACATTTTAGCCAGCTTTGTCTGCTGCCCTGTACTATTTAGTGGTCCAAGGCAAAAAGGGGGAAGATGTTCTTGGCCCAGTCCGGAGAGCCCTGACTCACATTGACCAAAGCTTGAGTCGTCGGAGCAGTCCTTTCCTGGCTGGGGTGAGTTGGGCTCTGAAATGGGGATCAGAGAAAATTGTATGATATAAGAACCAAGAGGAAGGCTATACTCAGAGTGCAAAACCCAACACTGCCACTTGCTAGCAGTATAATCTTGAAAAATCACCAGATTCTAATCTTCAAGTTTTTTCATTTTTGAAGTGGGGTAATATTAGTAGCCACCTCAATGGGTTATTGTGAGGATTAAATGAGGTAACTTAAAGTGCTTAACAAAGTGTTTAACTCGTAGTAAGTGTTTAGGAAATGTTTGAAATTATTGTATGCGCTGGGAAGAAACATAGTATTTTACCTGTGGACCTTTTTCTTTTCTTTCTTCAACAAAGGAGACGGAATCTCTAGCTGACGTTGTTTTGTGGGGAGCTCTATACCCATTACTTCAAGACCCAGCCTACCTCCCTGGTGAGAACTGTGCATGTCACTTCATCCCCAACCCCAGCCCAGGAGCTTGGTGGAGGAATTACAGAATAGGCAATACAAAATTGAGGATCCGCTTTGAAGTATAGCATGACGGGGCAGTTACAGCATAAAGATGGCTGAGGGAACTGGGGAAGGTAACTGGAGAGACTTCATGAAGAAAGGGAGGAGACCCATTCTTGCCTTGCCCATTCCAAGTCTTGCTAATTCCCTCTTTTCTCCCATGCCCACAGAGGAATTGGGTGCCCTGCACAGCTGGTTCCAGGCCCTGAGTTCTCAGGAGCCATGTCAGAGAGCTGCAGAGACTGTGCTGAAGCAGCAGGGCGTCCTGGCCCTCCGGCCCTACCTCCAGAAGCAGCCCCAGCCTGGCTCCGTTGAGGGGAGGGCTGTCAGCAATGAGCCTGAGGTTTGGAACAGAGCAGCAGGGTCCCCATAGAGCCTCAGTATCCGGGGGGAGGGGGGGCTTGGAGAGGGACTTTGAGCATGGCCATTAACTCTTTCAGTTGTTGGAGAGCAAGGAAAGTTTCTTTAGTCTCTGGGCCTCCTCACCTGGTGAGGAATCATGTCTGCCCTTCACAGGAGGAGGAGTTGGCCACTCTGTCTGAGGAGGAGATCGCCATGGCTGTAACTGCTTGGGAGAAGGGCCTGGAAAGCTTGCCCCCACTTCGGCCACAGCAGAATCCTGTGTGAGTAGGCACTGATGAGTGGGCTTTGTTTTGGTTTGTTTTGCTTTGTTTTTTTAGGTAGGCTCCACACCAGCGTGGAGTCCCAACACAGGGCTTAAACTCATGGCCCTGAGATCGAGACCTGAGCTGATATCAAGAGTCAGATGCTTGGGGCGCCTGGGTGGCTCAGTCGTTAAGCATCTGCCTTCGGCTCGGGTCATGATCCCAGGGTCCTGGGATCGAGCCCCGCATCCGGCTCCCTGCTCCGCGGGAAGCCTGCTTCTCCCTCTCCCACTCCCCCTGCTTGTGTTCCTTCTCTCGCTGTGTCTCTCTGTCAAATAAATAAATAAATAAATAATCTTTAAAAGAGTCAGATGCTTAAGCGACTGAGCCACCCATGCGCCCTGGGGCTTGGTTCCTTAAGTGGAAGTTATTGATAGTGCCAGCGTCTGTCTGACAGGTCACCTTCAGTGACCTCTTTAATTTCCGTCTTTTCCTTTGGCACTTTGTACTTCTCACCGCACTGATCCCAGACACCAGTTATATAATAGAATGCAACCCCCCGAGGGTAGAACCCCAGGCATACTCCCCTTTATGTCTGCCGTGGTAGGAAACACACTTCCAATGAAGGGAGAAGTCACAGAGCGCCATGTGAGCGCCACACAGTGTGCTACAAAGTGCTTAGGGGCTCGGGGTACAAGGATGACAGGTGGAAGGCTGGTCGTTGATGAAGGAAGGCTTCTCTGAAGGAGCTGATTTCTCAGCTGGATTTCAGAAAAAATTATGGTGTTTAGTTATAGGGAGCAAAGTCAATGAATGCAGGAGAAATCAGTGAGCTCTCTTTTAAGGAAATGAGCTGGAAAATGTTCCAGGAAGTAGTTGGAACCTCTAACTGGAATTTACATTAGCAGCTGGGAAGAAGGGGTGAGGTTAACAAGAAGAATCATTTGAGTCTTTAAGATTTAATTTATTTATTCGACAGAGAGAGAGAGACATCGAGAAAGGGAACACAAGCAGGGGGAGTAGGAGAGGGAGAAGCAGGCTTCCCGCTGAGCGGGGAGCCTGATGTGGGGCTCGATCCCAGGACCCTGGGATCATGACCTGAGCCGAAGGCAGACGCTTAACCGACAGAGCCACCCAGGTGCCCTTCATTTCAGTCTTTGTTAACAGTAGGAACCATGGGAATCTGAGCTCTCAGGATGGCCAAGGTTGAAGGACACAGTAAAGGATGGGAGTGAGTGATTATAGGTTGAGAATGGTTGGAAAGATCAAAGGAGCCCTGGTGAGGGGTCAGTGCCAAGGATGTGTGCAGCTGAGCTGTCGGGTGCGAAGCACAAAAAGAGCAGAGTGACTTGAGACCGCAGATTGAGTGGCATAACTAGGCATGTGCCTGGGAAAGTTACTGGGGAGCGTGGCGAGGAAGGCGGTAGCTGATGCCTGCGGACTTGAGTAGGACCACAGAGAGAGTACCACCGTGGGTTGGGGTGGGGGGGGAGTCGGGTATGGAAGGACTTGAGTGGCAGGCTGTGAGTACTTGAAGCAGTGACTGGAGATCATGCTTCCAGCTGGGAAGAAGAGAAGAGGGCAGTGCGGGAAAGGGTGCTTGGGTGGCATTGGGAGTCTGGGGGGCGTGGTGGTTGGAAAGAACCAGGAAGAGTTTTGTCAATACCCAGGAAGTTGGAGCCTGAGAATGAGCTGGTGGAAAAGAATCCGTCGTGATCATAAAGTGAGACAGAGGTCAGTGTGGAATGCAGCTCCGTCAGAGCAGTACCTGGCCTTGCTCACTGTGGCAGGCCCTGTACTTTCAACTGTAGGGGGTCTCATGGCTTTTAGGGGAGTTCATGATCCTGTGGTTTCACGTGAGGAAAGACTTCAGATGTACCTGAGTCTGTGACAGTAGAACAGGTCTGTGTCTGGGTGTTCTGTGCACTGTTGGTCCCTCTTGACCCTTGCTTCTCCTCCATGGACCGTTGTCTTTCTCTTTCCCTACCAGGCTGCCTGTGGCTGGGGAAAGGAATGTGCTCATCACCAGCGCCCTCCCTTATGTCAACAATGTCCCACACCTTGGAAACCTCATTGGTTGCGTGCTCAGTGCTGACGTCTTTGCCAGGTGGAGCCAGCTGCGGGGGGAGGACCTTCTGAGGGAGCGGTGGGCCCAAGGGAACAGAATGCCTCAAGGGTGGAGGCTGGGGGGGTCCCCGGGACATGGGAGGGGCCAAGGGGGCCCCTGAGATCACCATATCCCCTTCCAGGTATTCCCGCCTCCG